GAAAGGTGATGGTCCCCTGTGCAGGAGACGATAGCGGCTGCTGCTTCGGTCAGTGCTTTAACAGCAGAACGGAAATGTGCCGGAATGGACACATCTATGCCAAACTGTACTAGACGATCGACGTGGCCTTGGCCATTTGATTCAACGTTCAAGGGAAGCGTCAAAACCCACTTGATGGCACTCTGCTGCCAACCGATGTATACCCTAGAGCACGTCGGTTACCCGATTCCGAATTTGTACGTCGTCTTTAGCTATGATTTAATAATCATGTTTTTTGTAACATCGACGTTTGTGTAACGATCATTTGCTCAGGGGTGTGTGGTTAGTAAATTGTTTACCATTAAAGTTTGCAAATATTGCCCCTGATTCAGCTTCATGCCTTCATGCACGTGCTTTCTTATTCGTTGTTAGTTTAAATCAGCATATGTGTTTAACGCATGACGCAGAGCAGACATCATTAAGATTTACAATTCCAAATCGAAACATAACCTTTGGTTGCAGGCGTGAGAGAAAATTAATTTCCACCTAGTAACTCAAAGCTCAGACACCGGATCGTCTAAGCTATATCGCCATTATATGCACGAGATACCTAGTTACAAATTCAGCATCACGATGGCACCAACTAAATAGTAAAATCTACAGTGTTAAAAGAATAGTAAAGTACAGGACTAAACGTTTCTGCAACAACGAAAGCGACGACGTTAATATGATGACTTCAGCATATTTTCTTTAGCGGGAGGAAAAACATAATACTCGAGTTTGTTTTTATGCTTATTTATTACATAAATATTTTTTTGCGAATACATTTTCATTTGATCCAAAAAATGGTGCTGTTTTATGTTCATACGCTGCGGATGCTACAGTACCAATGAGCGTGATCTCCTCACACTGTTCCCTGGGTTGTTGGAAGGATAATTAAAACACGCGTTAAAAGTGCAGAGACGTGAGGGGGGAGGGGGATTGTTATTTCTGCCGGAGGACTGAGTAGCGATTTGCTATCAACCCTATGATACCTGGAAATATTTTTTTATGCAGTCGATAACGAAACGGTTTCATTCAGACGGTCAGTTGATAGCAAGAATGAGTTTCGATGTACTGCATTGTTACCATGTATCTTATCATAAGTACTTATTGCGATTGTTTGTTTGAATTGACCACATAGCAAGGACGCAAACAGATGATGGTATCAAAAGGCCAAGGGGAACAGTCGTCATCATCAAAGGCACATGGTTTGCGTTCGAATCATTGCACCTACGAGCTGCGACGCGTATGAATTGTTTTTTGGATACTCATCCCTCTAAGAGCAGCGCAAGAGCGAGCACATTCTCGAGTTCAGTGGAGTCGCTGCCTCAATACAGTGCTCATCCGTCTACTACTGAGCGGCAACATCTTGACCATGTCATACTGTGTTAATCTTTGAGCTGTTAGACCAATGGCCAATGTACGTGCCGTAAACTTGCTTTCTGGTTATGTGACGACGCAGTATAACCGTTATGGACTCAATCCCTAACGTCGCAGTTGAGGTTGACGGTCATAGGCAATCGCTTTGAGCACCAGTGTTTTGGATTCATGCTTTATGTGGTTAGTGCTACAAATGAGGTGCAGCAAAGAGATTCAGGGATGGACTTCACAACGGAACATGCATCGCAAGTGGCATTTCTCGTGATTCTTACGGAATCGCCTCTAGTAGGCTACCTCTAGAAACCAGATTACATTATCTCACCAACCCATTGGTATGCGATGAGTTAATTTATGGTAACCAGTCATAGAAAGTCCCTCAGGTAGTGGTTGTTTGTGAAATTTTGTAAACGCAAATATGTTATGAACGCAATATTTATGAGTGATAAATGACTGCAAAACCAAAGTTAAACCTTTGGTTGAGGAACCATGAAAACTGGAAACGATGTTCTGGTTTCAGCGGAATAATAAGCCCGCTGCTACAATGGGCTGACTTCCAAACAAAAATAGGACATATAAAATCAACATGCATGCAGCAAAGGTTTAAGAAGAGAACAGCATAGATCAAGTACAATTTTAGAGAAAAAACTCGTTTCCGCAGGACTATTGCCCAACATTTAGAAAAAAGGCAGACCTCCTAGAGGAGCAATGGCAAAGTAAAATGGTGAAATCGAAGATCAAACGAGATCGCCCATTAATTCTACCTTTTAAAATAAATAAAAAACGTAAAATTTAACTGACAAATAGAAAAGAAACTAAAACAGTAATATGAAACAAAAGATAAACAAACAAGCAAGAGGTAGTTGCTACGATAAACCTGTTACTCTACGTGCAAATCTATGGGATGCTTCAGAATCATCGACGTGAACTGGTAGGTTAACTGTCTTGTGCAGCTTGTACGATTTCCTGATCATCTTAAGCCGTTAATTTCACTGAAAAAAATCGAATTTCTTACAATACTTGGAATCGACTGCGAACTGCTAAATGCTTATTTTCTGAGAGCATGTACTCGTCACTTATTGACAATCTTGCCATCAGGATTTGAGCTAATTTTTTGAGCTCTCAAGTGTTGCTCGCAATCTCTTAGTATTGCTTTCGTATAGTCTGCGTTTGCTTCTTCGGCAGATCCAGTACTTATTTCGAGGAAGCCTTACATCCGAGGGTTGTTGCAATATCCGCAATCCATAGATATATTCAGCGGCATCAAGCCTTTCCATACAAAATCCTGAATGGAACCAGAAGTAAAATTGCTTTACCCTGCATTTCTGCAGGGACGAATATTCACTTGCAACAGTATTTGTAGATGCATAATATTGTTTTGCTATTGTTTGAAAATCAGCATTTCTCATACTTTATGTAAAAGTTTAATTTGGGAAAGGCAATAATGAATGATGATTCCATGATAATGTGACTTTGGCGTTGTTCACAGCGTTTGTTTTTCGCCGACATTTACAGGAAGGCACAGAAAAATTGAAGAGA